TTAAAAACATGGCTATTTTGAAATTGAAATCGTTTTTCTTGGCAAAATAGAAATAGTCTGTCCAAATCTCTTCTGTTTTGGTAGAGACTTTGACCTCTAACAAATATAACTTTCCTCGGGGCTTTCATATATTTCAGAGAAGCCACAGCTTTGAATCCCATGTATATAAACATGTAGGTAAAAAAGAAAGAAGATTCAAGTATTTCTTTTTTGATTGCATGTTAAACTCCAGTGGCTTCTCCTGAAAACGATAGCAACTTTGTCATGCCAGACAACAAAATAAACGGGTGTGACTTTCTTGGCAAAATCATTGAAAGTTTGTGTGTATGGGGTCTCACAATCTTGACTCTTTTAGAACTTTGAAGGCAATCATTTATGGCTATTTTGCACAGTTAATATATTCTTTTTTTTGTTTTTTCTCCATTGGCCATCAGTGAAGGATGGTGAAGAGTAAGATGGAGGCAGAAGTGACAAAGACAGCAGACTACAGATGCAGCTATGGCACCAAACAGCAATCAAGCTTGGAAAAAATCATGAGGAAGCCAAGAGCAGGCCCATGACTGAGCAAAATATAGCAAACTTTTATAATGCATTTGACTCAGAATTATTACAAAGTTGTACAACATTCCTCCAAAGAAGCCTTCTCCCATGCAAGGATATGAACTTTGCCAGTAAGACTCAAAGAAGGAAACAGGCTTCTTGATGGTGTTCTCAATCTCAAACACCTCCGCAAAAGCCAACAGTGCAAGTGATAAAAGCCAGTGATGGTTTGGACTACATCTAAATGAGGAAAAGACAATGAGAATGAAGTTCTGGAGGCAGTGATGAGCAATGGAGTACTGAGAAGATGACGGAGAGTGGCTCTGCCAGTAATAATCACCCAGATGAGGTTGTGGAGTCTGAGGATCCACAAAGATGCTTTGAGCATCCATGTAAATAATAAGATTTAGAAAGTAACAAATGAAAGCACATAAGGCAAGCTGAACAAAAAGCACTCAGGTCCACAGGGGCTATATACAGATGGACATGAAAGCTGAGTGGTATGGGAAACTATACCATCAAGGCTGAAGATAAGAAAGGAAGCAAGGGAGATGCAATGTTATGATCACTTCTTGGCGAGAGAATCTCAGTAATTACCAGCTTGGCAAAAAGGACACACTGAAAGACAGATTGCTCTTGGTTGTTGAAGAATGTTGAATTAGGATCATTTTGGAAATGCAAAGAAGTGACTGTGCTTTAGGAAGAGGCACAAAATAGCCAATTTATGGGGCTCTAGGTAGGACTGCATGGAACAGGCTTTCCAGACAGTGTCTCCATGCAAACTAGATCAGCTCTTTTCCCAGCTATGTGTTCTACGAGTTGAGCAATATAAGAACTAAAACATTCGGATTCAAGAATGATTTTTCCACATATTTTTACCAAAGGATCAAATGGCTGAATTTCCAAAAATAGCTTCAGGAAGAAATAAGCTTCACAACCAGTTTCATTTTCACAAGGCGTTCACTATGTGGAAAATATTATGTGCCTCTTAATTCTACAGTGGCAGCATCATTGCTGACTGGGAAAAGAACTAAGGTGGCAGAGCCACACTTCTGAACTTGCAAATAATTTATAACAAATGGCACCCTGTGTTGAGAGAAAGGGACTGAGGGAGAAGAAGCCAAGGTGAAGAACCTCAACACATACATTTGGAAATCTTGCCAAGAAATTGTGATTCTTCTAAATAATCATTGAACATATTTCTATGCATTTGATGAAAATGGACTAGATAATTATATTTTCATGAGAGAGAAAACACTGAGTGATCAAGCAAAGAATTTATAATTGTTAGTGTTTGACAACTATGTTAGTTTTTGGCAACAGCACATCAACCTGTATTAAATTCGAACATTTTGTGGCTTTCAAGGGTTACTGATAACCTAGTATGCATTGGAACCTGATGAATATATTCCTATTGTTTTCATCATCTCTAACATGTGAACACAATCCACACATAGAGAGGCTGGCTCCTGAGCAGAGAATGAAAATTACTAAGACTAACAAAGGGAAGTAGACTCACAATGAGTAAATATACAAAAGCCCCAAATAATTATAATAGTCACAGCTTGGCAATGAGTTTCCAGACTATGAAATTAGTTTTCTTGTGAAGAATGGAGATTTTACAAGGCTAGTATAAACACGGGGTAATTGGAAAATCAAATTTCTCTTTGTGAGTTATTGTAAGGTCTGGAATAATGGTGATGATATTTATTTAAAAAAAAAAAAATCCCCATGAATCACTGTAGTTTGTTGTTTTTAGCAGTACTGTTGCCAAGAATGCTTGCCTTGGAAGTACAACAGTGGGAACTTTACATTGTGAAGGCCAAGTCCCAGCTTACCCCCGACACAATGAGCTCTCCTCCCAGATTCTGTACTTCTGCCTTCACCTTGCTGCAGATGTTAAGTTGATGGCAATACAAGGCAATTCGTTGAAGGTAGGCTAATAAATCCTGCTTACATGCTGAATCAGGACACTGTAAAACATTAAAAAAGTGATCTCAATTAGTAAGTACTCTTCAGTTTCTAACATTTACTATATAAAAGCTGTGGGAAGAAAAGATTTCAGTGTCATATACCTTAATTACATTCACTTAACATAACTTCTTCAGAAAGGCCACAGGCAGTAGTTTAGAATAGTTAGCTCTAGTTTGATAAAATTTTATAAAGAGAATGTTGAAGATCTTTCAAAAAGTCTCATTGGGACTTTTGAACATGTTTATTAATATTTTTTACCAGTTATCTTCTAAACTCTTAAGAAAACTAAATATTCTACAGTTTTCTCCCTGCTTTTGTTCAACCTTTACTGTATGAAAAGTTATTTTAATGCAGAGAAGCAACAGCTGCTAAAAATAAATCACTCTGTGTGGCAAACACTTTCACCTATACTATGACAGAGTTCCGATCCAATTAGTTCAAGAAAAAAAATCAATTTGTTTCCTTACTTTTTTTAAGAAAAGCATCATTCACTAAAAGAAGTCCATCACACTTTTTGGATTTTCATATTTATCAACATTTTAACATAATAAACTACCTTTAAATGAGATACTGTGAAATGGTTTATGACCACTTCAAGAAAAATAGATTTTATAAAATGAAGCCAGTTGAAATAATTCATAAGAATAACAGAACCCTTCAATCGACAGACCACAGTCGAATCTGGCTAGAGATTTTGGGAGGCTGAGGTGTGAGAATCACTTGAACTTAGGAGTTCGAGACCAGCCTGAGCAAAAAGCTAGATCCCATCTCTACTAAAAATAGAAAAAATCAGCTGGGTGTTGTGGCATGTGCCTGTAGTCCCAGCTACTCGGGAGGCTGA